TCAATTCAGTGGGAAAAAGAAAATCTCTTTAGCAAATGGTCCTGGAAAAACTGGATATCCACCTGCAGAAATGTGAATCTAAACCCCTACCTCTCACCACTAACAAAAATAAACTCAATCACATTATTTGGCTTACGAAATAATGTGATTGAATGTATAAAAGAAAGTGAAATAAAAAAAGAAAAAAGAATAAGCTAAAGGTTAACATTTAATGGTATCGATTTTTTACTAAATAAACATTGTACAGAGTTGAAGTCATCAAATTAGGAAAAAAAAACCCATCAACTCAAAGTGGATCAAAAATCTAAACCTAAGACCTCACACTATAAAAGTACTGCTGAAAAACACTGGGAAAACTCTGGGAGAAATTGGGGTAGGCAAAAACTCCTTAAATAAGACCCCCAAAGCACAGATAATAATCTCCAAAACAGACAAGTGGGATTACATTAGATTAAGAAGTTTCTGCATGCAAAAGAAACAGTAATTAGTGTGAATCGACATCCCTTGGAATAGGAAAATATTTTTGTGAACTATGCTTCAGATAAGGGACATTAGAACCAGAATGCACAGGGAACTCAAGTGGTTTACCCCCCAAAAAGATGTTCAACCCAACTGAAAGATGGGAGAAGGAGGTGAAAAAACAACTCGCTAAGGAAAACATATGAATAGCCAAAAGGCATATGAAAAAATGCTCAACATCCTTCATCATAAGGGAGATGTGGATCAAAACCACAACGATATACCACTTAACCTCAGTCAGAATGACTAAGATTAAAAATACAAAAAATTGTAAGTGCTGGCAAGGATGTGGTGAATGGGGAACTCTCCTAAACTGCTGGTGGGAGCGGAAATTGGTCCATCTACTTCAGAGCACAACACAGAGATTCCTCAAAGATCTAGAAATAGAACTACCATATGATTCATCAATCCCATTCTTTGGTATCTACCCAAAGGACAGAAGAATGCTTAGTAGAAAAAGTGCTTGCACATTGGTGTTTATTGAAGCATTATTTACACTTGCTAAGACATAGAACCAACCCAAATGTCTATGAATGGAATGAATACATTGAAGAAAAGTGGGACGTATACTCTATGGAGGGACCAGCAGTTGTCATAATGAAATACTACTCAGCCATAAAAATCAAGACCCTGGCTTTTGACAGAAAGAGGATAAATGTGAAATATTTACTGCTGAGTGAAGCAAGACAGGCTATGAAGGGTAGACATTGTATGTCTCCACTTAATATATACTGTCTACTCTTTATGGCTAAAACTGAATGACTGGAACATATAGGAACATAGAAAATGGTTGTAGATACCAGATATAGTGTGGGAAGATAGTAGGTGAAGGAGGAGAGTCTGAGGAAAGACATTAAGAAGAAAAATAAATAGACAAGACTTTTATGGAACAAAGAAATGGGTTATTATTTGTTAATTAAGTATATTGTATCATGAGAAATGTATTCATGTTGGAGCACTTTACAAACCAGGTGACATGTGTGATTAAATGTATAAAAGAAATTAAAATAAAAAAAAATCAGACTTTTATTTTAAAAAATGATTGTTCTGTTACCAAGTAATTAGCTTTGGCTACTTGTGCAGTAAAAAAGATCTGGATTAGTGGACCACTGGAACTGTTACACTAAATAATTAACATTTAGTTCATATACTTATGAAGATGATTGGGAAAATGATGTTGAAATCTAATGCAAATGACAAAATATAAAATTGCAGCATCTCTGTACTTTTCTTCAGAATCTCATAATCTTAATGTTTTAAGTTTAGTATTTTAAAATATGTTGGGAAAAATCATATAGAGAGAAACTACATAGAAGTATATAAAGCATGATGATTTAGATTTAAAGCCAAGAACATAACTTATCAATTAAAATCTGCAATTCAATAGACTTTATTCAGTAAACTAAATGAATTAGACAAAAAAATCTGCACAACTGTGGCTCATATATTACATGCGCTCTATAGCAAAAGCCTCTCCAGCGTAATTAGTGTGAATCAACAACCTTTGGAATGGGAGAGAATTTTTGTTAACTGTGCCTCAGAAAAGGGACTGATAAACAGAATACACAGCTTACCCAGAAGACAATGATTAACCCAATTAAAAGATGAGAAAATGAGCTGAATAAGCAACTCTCTAAGGAAGACATATGAACAGCAAAAAAGGAATATAAAAAATGCTCAACATTCCTCATTGTAAGGGAGATGGAGATCAAAATCACAATAAATTGGAAAAATGAAAAAAAATACCTAAAAATATACATAAAACAAAATGTGCCAAAAGCTCTCAAACTTAAAAAAGAATATTACTAATTTTACTACCTTATTCTATGAGTTCACTGTATGTAGAGTACAAATTTCAAGGCTGATTGTAAAAATTTTAATGTACATCTAAGTATTACTTGTAAGAAAAATATATATGGTCACCTTTCTTTAAAATACTCACTACTTAAATTTCCTTTAAATTAACATATGATATTCAGAAATCCTATAGGTTGTATGATACAAAGGTCATATAAGACAGATCTCTTGCTTTACAGCACTGGAAGAAAAACTTTTTCATCCTTCTCTTTCACACTCACACAGAAAGGATTATTAATATTTTTAGAGGAGCTATTAGAGGCAATATTTCATCCTTAAAAAAGCACCTTTGGAATTCTTACTTTTAACTCAGAATTCTCACAATGTTCAGTAATAATTCTGGGATGGAGAAATGAAAAACTTAGGTAATGTAGAAAAACTGAATTGCTCTTCTAGGAGGCATAAAGTACAGCAGCATAATGCGATTCAGGTTTATAAGCCAGGCACAGAAATTGGATAGTGCACCATCTCACTCCCAGGTGAAATTCAAAGTGGTGAACTCAAGAAGTGAAAAGTAGAATGGAACTTAGAAGGAACTAGAGTGAGGATGGGGGATGGGGAAATGGTTAAAAGTTACAAAGCTTTATTTAGATGGGGAGCAATTATTTGATTTCCCAAACAGCATGGCACTATGCTAAAAAAAGCATTATATATTTTAAAATCCGAGTGTAATTTTGAAAGTGTCACCAGACATTCCAGTTAAAGCCCTGGAAATAGCCAGTATTTCAAATTTCTGCTGCAAGGCAACAGATATCATTGAACTTATACAAATAACGATTGTGCCACAAAATAAGAAAACCCACAAATATTTGCCAATTCCAAAGGAGTAAGGAGGGATATGACCAGAAAGCTACAGTAGATCTCAAGAAATCCAACAGAAGCTCTTGGAAAGATTGTCTGGTATGATAAACAGTTCTGCATGGCAGATGAGTAAAAAAAGTCACTTCCTAACAGGCCCCCCAAATTTTCAAATATTGGTACTTAAAGGAATAGTTGGATGGTGAGTCCCAGACTTGACTCAGTAGTGTTGAGGGCTTTTTAGAAGTTTCTTATAAAAGGTTCGAGCAAAGTCAACTAAATCGTTTAGTATTCTTAAGGGGCTTTGTACAAATAATAGACCAAATTGAGTCTAAATTTGTTATGATTTTTGTAAATAAATTAGTTTATACCTCTTTGGTAAAAGGGAAATGGACAGAGAATAAAATGTTTCAAAGAAAATTACAGTGCACTTATTACTAGATTTTACCTTTCTCCATATCTGTGTTTTCAGGTTTTAGAATCAATTATTGTTTGAAAGGGTCCAGCAAAGCCAACTAAATCAATTAGCATTCTTAAGGGGCTTTGTACAAATAATAGACCAAATTGAGTCTAAATTTATTATGATTTTTGCAAATAAATTAGTTTATACCTCTTTGGTAAAAGGGAAATGAACAGAGAAAAAAAGTTTCAGAAGAAAATTACAGTGCACTTATTACAAGATTTTACCTTTCTCTGTATCTTTGTTTTGAGTTTTTAGTATCAACCTATTGCTTGAACAGAATCCTAACCTTTTTCGTGACTTTAAGTCTTAAGCAAATTTACCTGAAAATTGCTAGATTTTGACTTATGAAAGCTAAAACTGTCGTTCTTGAAATAAAAGAAAAAAACATAAAAAAACACATATATAATGAACACAGTAAGTTATATGACCTCAGCCAGGTGCTAGTTTATAGTATGGTCCTCCTACTCACTGAGTTTTATGCTTAAAGACAGAAGTGTTCATAAATATGTTTATATCCACTGTACTTGCTATTGAAAGTATTTAGATTACTTAAGATCTTTTGTGAATCAATAAAATGTAGAAAAAAATCAAGCTATAAATCGCTATTAGTCAAGGATATTATTGATAGTTGACTAATATTAATGAATATTGACCAATATTGACTTGTTAATATTGTTGATCAGTACTATGGTATATTTATACAATCAAATTAATGTAGTCATTAAAATAAATGTATGATCTCTATGTATAAAAATGATGACGATAATAAAAATACCTATAACTGGAAAAAACTAAAAGCTAAAAAGGAAACCAAAAAAACTATTAAAAATATAAATAAAAGTGTCACCAAAAATAATAAGTAAATGAAGCAAACATGTTAATTGGCTTGATTTAATTATTTCCTGTTATTTACAAATATCAAAAAGCTCCATAAATAAATATAATATATACTTCATAAATAAATTATACTCCATACATAAATATTATTATTGTAAATTAAAAATAAAGTATAGCAACACATTTTCCACTTCTAATCATTCCATAAAAGTTGTTTTCTGTAATAACCTTAAAACTCCATTTTTCAATATTAACATTTTTAGTATGAAAATTCTATTCTTAGAAAATTGAATGGATTGCTTGAGGCTTAGCCTGGCTGAGGTACCCAACAAGAACTCCAACTTTTTGTGAGTAGCTCATACTGTCTTCCATTTTCCCTGAGCTTCTGAGTTGTAGTCCTATTTCTGTAGTAATCTCATTACTCACAGGGTATGCAGCCCTTTTTGCTTCTCCTTGCTAAAAGTTATCTTAGCATACAATATTTCTCTGATATAAAAAAAGATATTATTTTATTGTATGTACTGGATCATTGGACGAGGATAGCTGAACGCTGCTCATCTCGACTAAACGTCACAGAACTGTGATCTCCCAAGCAGATCTGAGATCCACCATAAGGCAGTGGGTTAGGGTGGTACGTGCACTGTTAGAGAGACCATAGAAATTGTGGTAGGAATAAGACAGCAGGAACAACCAGTTTTCTCTCCTATGAAAATGTTACTAAAACTCTTCTCAACTCCAAACATTGTAAGCATACCTAAAATAAATGCATACAAATATTTTAAAAATTATTTTAAAAAGGAGAGTAAAAGAGATGGAAAGACTTACTGAACACAAATTACTTAAAAGATCAGACTCTCCTTTAGTCTTCTGATGTGTGCTTGAGATGACCCTACTATTTGGTGGCGACCGTATCTTAGAGAGTGCTTTTCCTGGGTCTGACATATATTCACCATCTGGAGGAGTCCCTTGGGTGAAATTTGCCTATTGTATGTTCTCGATAGAATAAAAATTATATTTATTTCTTTATTTTTTTACCTTGGACATCTATTAGAGAATTTTATATTATGAGTGATGTCACCTTTTGTATACAATGGAAAGCGGCACAGGGAAATCAAAGAAATTCCTATTAGTAAGCTAAGTGTTAAAAATTAGTGCATTTAAACGAGATTATTACTTTTCTGTAAGCTTGATCTATAACATGATGTATTGTAATTAGGCTCAATGATAGTATTAATTACATTTGTAAATCATATACTGAACAGTGGGATATATGACTGACAACCAAAAATTCATGTGTGTATGGAGTAGCCTAAACATGCAAGGTTGTTCAAACAGGTAAATAATCTCAGTGAGTTTTTCTGATCTGTTTTCATAGAATCTGTGATTCACCAAGCTCCTAACAGTTATGTACTGGGTATGGAAGTATTAGGATATTTTCTGATTAAAATACAAAAGACATCGATATTAGTTTATCACACATTTATTTAGAACATTAAGATTATACAACTTTATTGTGGTAGGATGAATATATAATAAGCTGCCCATATTTTAAGTGTACAATTTGATAAGTTTTGACTTATGTATCCAATCATGAAAGATCATAACAATCAGAATAGTCAACATATACCTCATAACAACTAGAATAGTCAACATATGCCTCAGATCTTAAAGTTCCTTTGTCCCTTGATAATCACTCTATTCAGTCCCTCCACAGACACCACTAATTTGTGTTCTACTACTCTGTAATAGTTTGTTTTTCTAACATTATCTATAAATGAAATCAAGGAGTTGGTATTTTGGAGGGGATGAGATTCTTTTTTTTTTTCTCCTCACATTTATTGTGATGTTTACTATATTGACTTGTGCAGCGGTGGAGCATTTTTTGTTGCTGAGTATTGTTCCACAATAAGTATATCAATGAATTCGGTTACTGATTCAGCAACTGAGATGTTTGTGTTCTTTCCAGCTTTTGTATGACAGTTAAGGTGCTATGAACATCTGTACACAAATTTTCACGTGACTTGAGTACTTATACAATTAATGGAGACTTGTTTTGTGGCTCAGATTATGGCCAAACTTACATGCTTTCTCCATTTCTCTCTCTGTTTGGGACTTGGGAATACACTGACATGCACCTAGCATGTTTATGAAGATGCCAAGTCCAGAACTGCAGCTGTGCAACTAGCTATGTGGTATCCATTGTTTTAGCCACCTGCTTTAGCCTTGAGTCTGACTTATAACTAACTTTTTATATCTGGTCATTTATTGTGTTTGTTCCCATATTAAAAGAAATAAAATTGTATATGTTCCATTATTTTAAGACTTTTATTGTTGACCCTTAGAGTAAAATTTTAACCCACTAATTCACAATTCTGATAGACAGAAAAGAACTATAATTTGTGAATTGCAACTTTTAGGAAAATTTTTTAGATGCTAAAAGAATTTACTAGTATATACCTTGACAAATAAATGTTAAAGCTACTTTGGTGGGACAAATTAACTTTGCTGATTTAATAGAATATTTTATTGAGCAAATTAGTCATTTATTTTTTGAGGTTTTTGCTGCAGTGTATGTGTGCTTGCCAGAAAGACAGAGAGACAGAATGTGAGAAATCACCCCCCAGGGGAGATGACCATGCTGCAATCCCTTCTCCTCCATTCTCCTTTTGGGATCTTGGGCATGCATGCACATGCACCCTGCCTGAGTTTAACCACTGGGTCCAGGACTTGAAGAATGGTCGACTACATGGGAGTCCAGTGACATAGCCATTATGTTAACTGCTAGTCCCACAAATTAGTCATTAATCAGTGTATTATATACTGTAGTTTCAAAAAAAAATTCAGTAGCACAGGGTTCCTACCTTAAAGAGCTTATGTTTGACTTTTTACAAAAATGGTAAATAATTTAAATCCAAAACAATTTTGAGGTTTAGCTAACTAAGGGAAGTATCTTTGGAATTTTTATTTTCTTCTTTAATTGAGTTAGTGAAAAACAAACAAAAAGTTACCTCCACTATTATATCTTATGCAGTTTATCACTTTTATTTCTTCCTCTTCACTTTTCTCTCTTTTTTTTTTTCCAAAGGCATTTAGATATGAGTCTAGGTTATTTAAAAATAGTAACTCAGTTGCTTTTTAATGTAAGGTAAGTGACAGTGAGAAGGAACTTGTAAAAATTGCAGAAACATTTCTTTTCCCATTGGGTTGAATGAGAAGTTAAAAGAAGTTCGTTAAGATACTACTCATCAGAATGAATGTACACCATTGTTGAATGAATAACAGAATTTTTTCTTTTATCTGATTTTTTTGAGTTAAAAAATTGTTTAATACATTTAATCGCCGCGGCTTGTAAAGTGAATTTTTCTAGCATGAATACACTGCACACATTATCATATATGTTATCAACAGATAATCCTCTATTGGTCAGTCGCTTCAATTTCTTGCCTCTCTACTTTTCTCCTTGACTCTCTTCCTGTCACATTCCCACACCTCCCACCCTCCTTCTACACTGTTTCCATCATCCACAACCATTCTCCATGCTTCTGTTTCCTCCAACGCTTCATTTTTTGCAGTAGAGTGCAGAAATTTGGCATATATTAAGTGGGGAAATACATTGTCTCTCTTTTATGGTCTGGCTTGCTTCACTCAGTGATCAATCTTCCATATTCCTCCACTTTGGATCAAATGCCATGGTCTCATTGTTTTTTATTTTTTTCTGAGTAGTATTCCATAATGTTTGCGTACCACATTTTTTATTTTATTTATTTTAGAGAGATTTTTGGTATAAAGTGTGTGCACTTTCCAGAGAGACAGAAAGACAGAAAGTGAGAAAATGCCCCATGGAGGGATGGCCACACTGTGAACTCTTTCCTCCATCCTCCACTTGGGATCTTGGGCTAGCACGCACATATGCTTGTCATGAGTTTTAAGCCCCTGGGGGTCTGGGACACAAACTGCAGTTGACTATATGGGAGTCCAGTGACATAGCCATTAAACCATCTGCTAGTCTTATGAGCCAGGTGGGTCTTTTTAAATACCTTCATCTGTTCTTGGACATTTAGGTTAGTCAGAATATCTTTTCTTTTTTTTTTTTTCCGAGATGTTTTTTGCTAAGGGGGTGTGCACTACTCAGAAAGACAAAGAGACAGAGAGACAGAAAAGAAGAAATCACCCCCAGGAGTGATGGCAATGCTGCAATCCCTTCTCCATTCTCCTCTCTAGATCTTGAGCACGCACACACATGTGCTCGGCGTGAGTTGAACTGTACTGGATTGGGGACTTGAACAGTAATCGACTACATGGGAGTGACGTAGACATTACACCATCTGCTGGTCCTCGGGAATCATTTTTAATGTAAACACACAGGAAGATTTATTAAATAATTTATTCCCAGAGAAGAGTTACTTGCTTTGGAGTTAACAAAAATATTTCATGGTGATCTGTTGATTAAAAGATGCTGAAACTTTTGAATGATGTTAATCTTACTTCTATAACTAGCACAAGCAATAACATACAGACATAAATTAAATTACTTGAATTCTCAACCTATTTTAGAAGATGAATATATTGTCATTTTAAAGTACTCATGTTGAGGCTTTTTGGTTTTCAAAACTAACCTTAGATTTTATGTAATAGTTTCTGAATCTCTTCATTGCATTTTTCATCTCTTTATTTCTCAGGCTATAGATGGCTGGATTCAGGAGAGGTGTAAAAACAGAGTAGAACACAGCAAGAAACTTGTCCACCCAAGTAATGCTCAGTGGCCACACGTAGATGAAGATGCAGGGCCCAAAGAAGAGCACCACCACAGTGATGTGGGCAGTGCAGGTGGAGAGAGCCTTAGACGCAGCAGTTTTAGAGCGTTGGCGGACAGTGAAAAGAATGTATGTGTAGGATATCAGTAACAGTACAAAGGTGATCATGCTTAGAACCCCACTGCCAGCATTCAAGAATATTCCCAAAGCAGAGGAATTTATGCAGGCAAGCTCTATGACCAGAGGAATATCACAGAAGAAGCTGTCTATTTCTCTTGGACCACAGAACGGCAGCTGCATAATTAAAACCATTTGACTCAAAGCATGCAGAAAGCCAGTGATCCAGAAACTCACCACCAGCCCAATGCACCTTCGTAGGCTCATAATGGTAGAGTAGTGGAGTGGTTTGCAGATGGCCATGTACCGGTCATAGCCCATTACCAGAAGCAGCACCATCTCACCACCTCCAAAAAAATGCACAAAGAAGACTTGGCACATGCAGCCTCCAAAGGAAATAGTCTTGTTCTCCCTGAGAAAGTCTGTGATCATCTTAGGAGTGGTGACTGAGGAAATCACAGGTCTAGAAAGGACAGGTTGGCTAAGAAGAAGTACATGGGGGAATGGAGATGGTGGTCAGTGATGATTAAAGTCACAATGAGAGTATTTCCAAATACAATGATCAGGTAAAGTATATTAAACACCAGGAAGAGTAAGAGCTGTATATTCCAAGAGTGGCAAAGTCCCAGAAGCACAAATTCTGACACTACAGACTGATTTCCTTCATCCATATTATCTCGCAGGTCCACTAAAATCACCTAGAGAGAAGGATAGATTTTCAGTTAGTGGAATAAGGCAGGGTGTTTAATGTTCAGTTTTGGGTGTTCACGTTGTCATTTAACATATACATTTGACATGGCAATATGTAACTGTAATGAACAATCTGGTCAGACACTTATGGTTTATGCCTGGATGAGAAACCGAATGACTAAAATTGGCTGTTTAAAAAAAAGCCTGTTGGGGATCGTTACTCAAATGTTTATTGAGTGGGTAGAATAAGGAAAGCAGAACTGAAAGAGGAAAGATTAAAGAATTTTTGTCTTGTCACCTGCAAACTAGATTTGGTCTGCTAATTAAGTAAAAAGGATCTGAGTGGGGCCCCACAACTCTTACACCAGATAACTAAAATGTAGCTCATACACTTAGGAAGATTATTGAGGATGTGGTCTTGAAATCCAGTAGAAATGCTATGATACTCAATACAATGTCTCTTTATCTCTTCTACAGAATGTCACAAACCTAATGTGTTTAGTTTAGAAATCTAAAATATATGTTGGGAATCTCTTTCAGAGAGAAACTACATAGAAACTCATGCAAATATTGTCTGCTGTGATGATTTGGGTAAGAACCAAGAATATAATTTATCATTAATTAAAATGTGCAATAACATGTTATTAATTCAGTAAACTAAATGAATTAGAAAACAGTCTCTGAAGAGTCACATTAACTCAAAATCAATGAAAGTGAACCACCATTCAGACTTAAATTCTCACTTCATGAACTCTAAATGGAGCCAAGGTTATCAACAGGCAATAATTACCTTAAACTATAGGAATGCATGATTAGAAATCTCTTGACTTTAAAAAATTATAATCTGACCATCGAAGATACATTATTTATCTTTTTAAAGATAGGAAAAAGTTACAGACCTGTGTAGGAAAGTGCAATTTTGACTGTAGGTGCTGAATTTACATGGGGTTAAAATGTCAGTGATCATAGTTCCTTACCTCTGCATATAATAAAGATATCGCTTGCATTGATCCCTAACTGGAATTTTTTCTGAAGCATGATATTGCAAAGATAATTGTCCATTTCTCTTCCCCCATTATTAAAGCTTTCTTGAATATAATAATGATATCGCTTGAGTTTATCCCTAAGTAAATTGGAGAATTTTCTGAAGCATGATATTGCAAAGATAATTGTCTATTTCCGTTCCCCCTTTACTAAATTTTTCTTGACACTGTTTCACTTCAATTTCGCCTCTCCTTCTATGCTTTGAAATCTCCAGGGTGGTACTAGGATATTGTGTGAACACAGCAAGCTATTACCACATCTCGAGTCTGAGTTGCTCTGGTCCTTATTGTGAGAACTCAGAGCATGGGTTCAGATTGAAAAGAAATTTTCCTAAAGAAATTAGATGAAGCACATATTTATTGTGGAAAAGGAGACATGATGATAATCTCAAATTACAAATAAACATATCCTCCAAAAAGATATTTAACTAATGTCTAAAGAAAATATCTTGATTGTACACCTGACATATTTATGCCTCATAAGAAACAAGTAATCTGACATTATTTTGAAACTTAATTTTTTTTTAAACCAAACCTTTTCATGAGAAAATTTCAATATTTGATTTCGTGGTCATTGGCATAAGTTATGGAGAAGATAAAAGCAATAGGTGGTTTTCAAGCACATTTAAGAAAGATTTTTTTTTTTTTTTGAGAGGTTTTCACTATAGGGCACATGCGCTCACCAGACAGAGAGAGACAGAGAGATAGAAAGCGAGAAATCACCCCCCAGGGGGGATGGCCACACCATAATCCCTTCTCCTCCATTCTCCTCTCGGGATCTTGGGCACGCACGCACATGCGCCCGGTGTGAGTTTAAGCCACCAGGTCCGGGACTCGAACCACGGTCGACTACATGGGAGTCCAGCAACATAACCATTACGCTAACTGCTGGTCCCAAGAGAGAATTTTTAAAAAAGATGAACATGTATTGCTCCTGAGAAGCAATTTACCAATACAACTTAATATTGCTTTTTAAGTTATTTTTAAAAATTGTAAATATTTTATAATATTTGTGTATTAATTATATTGCTTTATTAATTTTAGTCTCATAACTAGGATAATAGCAGTAGACTTTTTATTACCAGGGAGCATATGCACTCACTGGAGAGACAGAGACAGAGAGAGAGGAGAGGGAGAAAGGATCTTCCGATAGTGTATGATCACACCACAACCTCCTCTCTTCCATGTATCCATCTAGTCGGGATTCTACGTATAAACACACACACACACACACACACACACGCACCATACACACACGCACCATAAACACAGGATGTTCGCACAGTCTAATGGCGAGTCCAAGACTTGACTCAGTAGCATTGGGAGCTTTTTAAAGTCTAATCTGAAGTTCCTTATAAAAGGGTCCAGCAAAGCCAACTAAATCAATCAACATTCTTAAGGGGCTTTGTGCAAATAATAGACCAAATTGAGTCTAAATTTATTATGATTTTTGCAAATAAATTAGTTTATACCTCTTTGGTAAAAGGGAAATAGACAGAGAAAAAAATGTTTCAGAAGAAAATTACAGTGCACTTATTACTAGATTTTACCTTTCTCTGTATATTTGTTCTGAGTTTTTAGTATCAACCTACTGCTTGAACAGAATCCTATCCTTTTTCTTGACTTTAAGTCTTAAGCAAATTTGTCTGAAAATTGTTGGATTTTGACTTATGAAAGCTAAAACTGTCGTTCTTGAAATAAAAAACAAAAGCATATGTATATAATGAACTCAGTAAGCTATATAATCTCAGCCAGGTGCTACTTTATAGTATGATACTCCTACTCACTGAGTTTTATGCATAAAGACAGAAGTGTTCATAAATATGTTTATATCCACTGTACTTGTTATTGAAAGTATTTAGATTAGTTAAGATCTTTTGTGAATCAATAAAATACAGAAAAAATCAAGCTATAAATCGCTATTAGTCAAGGATATTATTGATAGTTGACTAAAATTAATGAATATTGACCAATATTGACTTGTTAATATTGTTGATCAGTACTATGGTATATTTATACAATCAAATTAATGTAGTCATTAAAATAAATGTATGATCTCTATGTATAAAAATGGTGATGATAATAAAAATATTTGTAACTGGAAAAAACTAAAAGCTAAAAAGGAAACCAAAAAAATCTATTAAAAATAAAAATAAAAGTGTCACCAAAAATAATAAGTAAATGAAACAAACATGTTTATTGGCTTGATTTAATCATTTCCTGTTATTTACAAATATCAAAATACTCCATAAAAATATAATATATACTTCATAAATAAATTATACTCCATACATAAATATTATTATTGTAAATTAAAAATAAAGTATAGCAACACATTTTCCACTTCTAATCATTCCATAAAAGTTGTTTTCTGTAATAACCTTAAAACTCCATTTTTCAATATTAACATTTTTAGTATGAAAATTCTATTCTTAGAAAATTGAATGGATTGCTTGAGGCTTAGCCCGGCTGAGGTACCCAGCAAGAACTCCAACTTTTTGTGAGTAGCTCATTCTATCTTCCATTTTCCCTGAGCTTCTGAGTTGTAGTCCTATTTCTGTAGTAATCTCATTACTCACAGGGTATGCAGCCCTTTTCACTTCTCCTTGCTAAAAGTGATCTTAGCATACAATATTTCTCTGATATAAAAAAAGATATTATTTTATTGTATGTACTGGATCATTGGACGAGGATAGCTGAACGCTGCTCATCTCGACTAAACGTCACAGAACTGTCATCTCCCAAGCAGATCTGAGATCCACCATAAGGCAGTGGGTTAGGGTGGTACGTGCACTGTTAGAGAGACCATAGAAATTGTGGTAGGAATAAGACAGCAGGAACAACCAGTTTTCTCTCCTATGAAAATGTTACTAAAACTCTTCTCAACTCCAAACATTGTAAGCATACCTAAAATAAATGCATGAATGCATACAAATATTTAAAAAATTATAAAGGAGAGTAAGAGAGATGGAATGACTTACTGAACACAAATTACTTAAAAGATCAGACTCTCCTTTAGTCTTCTGATGTGTGCTTGAGATGACCCTACTATTTGGTGGCGACCGTATCTTAGAGAGTGCTTTTCCTGGGTCTGACATATATTCACCATCTGGAGGAGTCCCTTGGGTGAAATTTGCCTATTGTATGTTCTCGATAGAATAAAAATTATATTTATTTCTTTATTTTTTTACCTTGGACATCTATTAGAGAATTTTATATTATGAGTGATGTCACCTTTTGTATACAATGGAAAGCGGCACAGGGAAATCAAAGAAATTCCTATTAGTAAGCTAAGTGTTAAAAATTAGTGCATTTAAACGAGATTATTACTTTTCTGTAAGCTTGATCTATAACATGATGTATTGTAATTAGGCTCAATGATAGTATTAATTACATTTGTAAATCATATACTGAACAGTGGGATATATGACTGACAACCAAAAATTCATGTGTGTATGGAGTAGCCTAAACATGCAAGGTTGTTCAAACAGGTAAATAATCTCAGTGAGTTTTTCTGATCTGTTTTCATAGAATCTGTGATTCACCAAGCTCCTAACAGTTATGTACTGGGTATGGAAGTATTAGGATATTTTCTGATTAAAATACAAAAGACATCGATATTAGTTTATCACACATTTATTTAGAATATTAAGATTATACAACTTTATTATGGTAGGATGAATATATAATAAGCTGCCCATATTTTAAGTGTACAATTTGATAAGTTTTGACTTATGTATCCAATCATGAAAGATCATAACAATCAGAATAGTCAACATATACCTCATAACAACTAGAATAGTCAACATATGCCTCAGATCTTAAAGTTCCTTTGTCCCTTGATAATCACTCTATTCAGTCCCTCCACAGACACCACTAATTTGTGTTCTACTACTCTGTAATAGTTTGTTTTTCTAACATTATCTATAAATGAAATC